TTTCCCCAAACCAGGATCAAATACGAATTCTCATCCTCCTTAGTCCAGATCTAGTCATTCCCTCACTACTAAGTTGTTAGGGTATCTCATTGAAAAACATGCACCATTCCATTCGAAATACTTATGTTTCAAAACCATCTAGGGGTGCGGATTGGTAGATTCAGGATTGGATCAGGCCACACCCCTACCCAACCTTGCATATCCCAAGGGTCAACCCAGACCTAGTCATATTCAAGATGTTCGGACCCTTACCCAACACACTGGGTCAGGTTATATCAAGATTAGTTGGGTTGGGTTGGGTCTTCACTCTGATCCGACTCCACGGTTGCGTCCGTAATTCAAGACCTGGACCAACCTACGCAGTCTAGTAGTTGGACCCAGACTTGGAATTAGATCAGCCGCTGAGTGGAAAAGGTGACTTGTCCCAGTTACCGGGCCTCGTTCCATCTGACCCACATTACAAAGAAACTTGGATTCAATGTCAGCACTAAAATGATATATATAAGCAGTGTCTGGATTCATGAAAGCTGCACACAGGCTTATTCGTGATTGAGGTGAAACTCTATTTTGAAGAAATGGCCACCCGATATGTATCGTCTCCTGCACAAAAGATTAAGAAATCACTTTGATATTGGCCGCAAAAATTACAGCACAAATCAGCCTTTGCATATAAGAATTATTGCTTCAACATCTTATAATCGCATCCAGAGATGGCCTTATGTAAATAATCTGATTAATAACGGTGAGGAAAGGCATTATGAGCTGTCGGGCCCAGTGTATAAATCACGACCTGGGGATGGGATTCGGCCCATGCCGGAGCTGAGTAATTTGGGTGGAGTCCAAGTTACCCGGCCTGAGTCAAGCTGGGTGGTCCTAGTAAGCTAAAAAGTGTTAAAAGGATAAAAAAAATCCCAAGAACAGGAAATATATGTTTGAAGTAAAATGAAACAGAACACATCTAAAAGAGGTTAAAAAATCAAAGGGGATATTTTAGAAATAATACAAAAAGAAGGGAAAATGTAAAAATAAGTATTCAATGCCGAAACACTTTCCAATCTTTCCGAAAATGATAGAAAATATAAAAAAATACTATGAATAAATTTATTACTTTTTTGCACTTTTTATTTTTTTATAAAATTTTGTAATTTTATTTAAGATTCGTGAGTCGGACCACCCAACTCAGGGATACTCCGACTCACCAGGGTGGTGAGTCCAAGTTGGCTCACCCTAGTTTTTGCACATTGGTCGGGCCTACGAACAATATGGAGCAGATGACTCAGATTGAATCTCTACCAATTGAAGGACTAGCATATGTGGGCACCATTTAACTTTCCACCTTTTTTTTTTTGAAATGGTAAGAATTTCATTGAGAAAATGAAGAGTTACAAGAACAAAAAGGAAAAGAAAATAAATGATCAAAAGCCTAAGCCAGCCTGAACCAAGAGAGCCAGGTTACAATAAAGCTCCCTCTTTAGCAAAAGAATCTGCCTCCATGTTACGATCATGAAAGATGTGGTGAAAGGCCACCTCGCTGCCCTGCAGTCTTGAGACAATGACGTCCATGGTGGACGTTATGGCCCATGGCACTGAATCTGGATTTCTGCACCAAGATATGGTGTTGGCTGAGTCCCCCTCGATAATGATTCTAGCATCTCTAGGTCATAGTTTTAGAATCCCTTCTTTCAAAGCCTTACTTATCTTGTTAATGTCGCAAATACGGGATATTCCTTGATATTGTCATAAAACCTCTTCATTGGAATCACGGAGAAGACCACAATAACCTATTAAGCCCTCTTGAGGCCTAAGATTGCCATCGAAATTTAGTTTGAGTCAACTGGAAGGTGGTCTCTCCTAAAAAGCACTTCAAGATGGTTTCTGCATACCAAAGTACTCTAACTGTATTTTGTTTAATATTTTTTTGTTAAAAATATTTTTTATAATTTTTATTTGATTTTGTTGTAAAATTAAAAGGGAAATCCCCCATAGTTTCCTTTAATTTTAAGTTACCTTTATTTTTCATTTAATACATCCCTACATGTTTTCTAGTGATTTTTACGTACAAGATACTTTTACACTCGCCACGGATGTATTACATTCATGGCGCTCTTTAAACATACCCTTGCCACGGCTCTAATGTTGCTCGAAGGGTTTTTGGAACCCTTTGGGCCCACTTCCTGGTGTTCTATAAATCGTCACTGACAAAGCAGGTCCGTGACGGTCTTGCTACGACTCTAATAGATTCGTGGCGGTTCGAAGGGTTCTTGGAATATTTCAGTCAGGCTTCTTAGTGCTTTAGGAAGCCTATAACCGTCACAGACAAACCAGGTTTGTGGCGATCTCGCAATGATTCTAATAAGTTTGTGGCCGCTCGAAGGGTACCTGAAACCCACCAGCTAGGCTTCATGGTGCTCAAGAAGCGTATGAATCGCGCCACAGCTCTAATAAGTCTGTGGCGGTTTATTAGAATAATAGGGGGCAAGGGTATGTTTAAATATCGCACAGATGTAATAAAATCGTGGCAGGGGGGGGGTAAAGGTGTCTTTTATACAAAAATTTCTAAAAAACGGGTAAGGATGTACTAAACGAAAAATAAAGTTAACTTTGAAATAAAGGGAAATGTGGGGATAATACCTAATAATTTTTCAAATTAAAATACAACTTTAAATTCAAATAATATAATTTTAAATAAAATAAAAATAAAAATAAGACATATTTTTATAACATTTGAATTAGGCAACGTTCAATATATTGAAAAGTGCTTGTGCTGTAAACCACTATTAGAAAAACCGAGCGATCTAACAGTTTTGGGCGGTTTTGGGGATAGACCGGTATTTTAAAAAAAATTCAAAATATATATATATAAATTCTCAAAAATAAGGAATTTGGTTTGTAATACATTTTTTAATATTCTTTACATTATGGTAAAGATTAAAAATTGTTTTGGTCGTTAATACTCACTTTTATATTTTCCCATATTTTTTTACAAAATTTTAAAAATACTTTTGGACACAAATTGATTTGTTAAAATCCATTTCTTTCATTAATTTTCAACATCATTTTTAATGTGTTTTATTTTAATCATTTTTTATACACTTTTCATATTTTAGTAAATTTTTTTTATCATTTTTATTTTTTTTAACACTTTTTTAATCGCCTGGAACTTACCTAATTAGATCGGTTGAATCGATCGATTTACCTATTAACCAGTTAAACCGTTTCTTGACCCATGTCGATTAACCATTCCAATTCAATTTTATGAACACTTGCAAACCCGGTACATCCCAACAAGATATGGTCTAATAATTTATGGTTGAGGTACCAAGAATAAGATACAAGTCATTTTTGACCATTCGAAAAGACAGAATAACGAAGAAGAACAGAGTCATTTTTGGACCCATGCTCATCATTGGACCCATCGCCGCATACGGCTGGCTCCCACACCAGTGCTCTAAATGATGGAAATTAAAAAACGTGGGGGACAAGTGGGTTTGAAAGCATTGAAATCATTTGCTGTACCATAATAAAAGAAGGCAAGGTTTGTATACGGTTGGCTCCTTGTGCTCATTTCATACTGTAGAAATAAGGCACTGTAATAAAAAATTTACTTAGGAAATTTACGAGGTATTGTTTTGGCTTCGAAAACTTATGATGGCTCAAAACTCTCTTTTTACCCTATGTTATAAAATTTTAAAATTTAAAACTTGTATAGGTCGAGCAAATCAAAAAACACTTACAAATCTTAAAAATAGACAGTAGATAATTTGATACACTGTTTTTTAGACTTAAAAATCTTTTTTTTCTTCATGTCAATTCAACTTGATGTCAAAATGATCTCTTGGAGTGTTCTCCAATGCCTAAACTCTCTCGTCTCTAGGATTTTTGAGGTGCACCCTACTTCAACATATAACAATCTTATATGAGCTTTTCCCTAAAAAAGAAAAGAGCAAATATATAAGGCTTAGGCTTTATAGAAACAAAGTAAAACCGCACTTCAATCCTTGTTCAAAAAGTACTTTGAGCATTAGAAATCTCTATGATGGTTCTAAAATCAATTTTCAATGAAGACAATAAAATTTAAAGCTTAAAAATGACATAGATCTACGGGATCCATGAATACTTGTTTTTAGGGTGAAATAGACAGTCTAGATAATGTGTTACAATATACACTAGTTCTAGGATTTGAAATCCTAATTTTTCACATTCATAATAGTCAAGGCTGAGATGATGTATTTGAAGATTTTCGACACAGAATTGCAATTTTCTATGAGTATTGAGGTGAGGCTTTACTTATTTTGATAGAGCCATAGCCTTATCAAAACATTTTCCATGGCTACCAACCAGGCCACAACAATCACGTAACATTGGACGGTCCCCCATCTTTTCACCATATCTTTTGTTAAAGGGTGCGGTTCCTATAAAGTTGCAACCTTAAACAATCCGCGCACCTCCAAATTTTATCGTAATATGTAATTTTGTTGTAAAAAATTCTTAGGATTATCTTTAAATCTATTTTCATATTTAATTAGAAAATTTTAAACTCCAAAAATAGTTAAAATCAAAGAGATATATAAATATATGAAAATCTTGAAAATGGACGGCCTAGATAATGTGTTGCAAGATGCACAATTTTTGAGACTCAAAAACTTTTTTTTTTATATTCATACATCTTGATGTCGAAATGATCAAATATAGGGCTTTTCAACATTAAAACAACCATTCCGGTAGATTTTTGGGTGCATCTGTAATTCTACATTTTTAAGGTTGCAACCTTACGTAACCTTATGTAAACTTTTCCCCTTGTTAAATAGGTCAGTGGGAAGGAATGTTATCTATCCAATTTTAATTACTAAAAAAGAAAAAAAAATCCAAAAATTTACCATATAATATTTGAATTATTTTTGTTTAGTTCTTATTTCATTGTCGCCTTTACTTTTGGCACCCAAGGTTGGCCTATAAATAGGGCTCAAATTCCAGTGGATGGTGTGTCTAAATATTTTGATAGTTACTCCTTGTAGTCTTTGAGGTGCACAATTATGGCTCATGAGCAATGGTTGGGCTTGGGATGGGCTTACAAGCCATGGCTGAGGACTTTAATTTCTACTACTATGTCAGTCAGGTATTGTTGTTTCCATGAAATGCCACACTCTCGTTTCTTGTTTTTGTATTTTAGATTTTTTTTTGGTATTTTAGATTTTTATGTCTTCAATAGCATTCTCTTATAGCTTCCAAAAGATTATACGGATGTTCATATTGGTCATTTTATAGTGGATGTCAAGATTTATCAAAAAAGAATGCTCATAAGTAGGTATTTGGCCTGAGGAAGCATGTCTATAAGTTGCTTTTGCTATATGTATTCTATAACTGGGGAAACATCTCTATGTGGGATTAGTTATATGTAAAACATAAGTGGCTATTATCCAAAGCCATTATATCTGAATGGACGGCTGGGATAACTTTAGTGACAATGTCCATACCTAATACAAATTATTTTCATTAAAAACATATTCTTCATATTTTTAGTGGATGCGCCCCTATGAGAGGTGGGCATAACGTATGATATATACTCCGAACCTTCCAATCAAAATTAGATATTATCGACTACCTTGTGACAATACGATTAAAATCATCCCTACCATCCATTTACATCAAACAACTAAAACAGCAAATATTCATATTTGTACGTTGGTGGAGGCCGCATAAGAGGATTGCCCTTTACCTATTCCAGTTCAATCATAGAGTACCGGCCAACCTTTATATTAGATAGAGACGCTGCCGTGCTCTCCAGAAGGAAATAACTTCAAAAAAATTGGAACTTTACCCAAACTCATGGGAATCACCTAAATTAAAAGTAGATATCTTTGAAGCGTGGAAAATATTAGAGCTGAGAATGGGTCGGATTTGGTTTGGATCTACCAGGATCAGGATTTTGGATTCGAAAAGTATGCAAAGGATCCGGATCCTAATCCAAATCTAAAAAGTACACATAAGATCTAAATTTGGATTCGGACCTGATCGGATCTAAAACTATTTTTTATATATTATTTTATATCTATAAAATAATTTTTTACAAAAAATGTTATTTAACATATACGCGTATATACTGTAATATATAATATATTAATAATTGGGTTGGATCTAGATTAGATCCACCTATGTCTGCATGTGATCCGAATTACTATTTGGATCCAAATTTTGGATCTGGATCCCATCCGTCAGATCCAAATCTAGTTCCATAACCGTATCCAAATAGAATTCGAAATTCGGGTTTCGGATCCAAACTAGGTAAATTCTCAACCTTATCAAATATTCATGCGCTTCAAAAGTTTTCACAAGAGTTTTAATAACACAAAATTAGCTTTCTCCTTTACTCCTTGGCATGTAAATTTTTCAATAGATTATATAATAAGATACTATGTACTATTATTATTATCACAATCACTCATAGCTATTAGATATCAAATAAGATGGCTAGGCGTATATCCCAAAGTCTTAGAATTTTTATTTTTTATTTTGTTTTTTTGAAATTTGAGTCTAGTCAATGACATACTCGTAACCACCCAATTTAAAATGGGAAAAGTTTATATGGAGCCGAGGCTATAAACAATCAAATTCGAACCTACCTAAAATATTTCACTAGAAAAGGTTGTTTTGATGCCCAAATATCTTCAAATTGATCATCTCGACATCAAGATGCATGGACATGAGAAAAAAAATAGATTTCAAGTTTTGGAAATCTTGTATTTTGTAACACAATTTTGGACCGTCAATTTTAAAGATTTTCAAGTTTTTATAGGTCTTTCAATCTACACTGTTTTTGAAGCTTTAAACTTTATAAATAAAGATGAAAATATATTTTAAGGCTATCAAAAAGATTTCTAGTATTGAAACCACATTTTTGAAGGTAGGCTCTAATTTGATTGCTTAGAGCTTAGGCTCTATACAAACCACACCCATTTAAAATATGATAGACAAGAGTGATTGTGACTTCTTTGTACTAAAAATAAAAGAAAAGAATTCGATAGGGTTGCATCCCAATAAAAATAAGCAAAGCTTCACCTCATATGTCATAGAAAATTGCAATTCAAGCATTAGAAAACTTTTACATCAATCATCTTAGTTTGAACAATATGGTTATGAAAACATAAAAGGATTTTAAGCTCTAAAATAGTGTATATTGTAACAAATTATTTATATCATCCATTTCGCCCTAAAAATAAGTGCTCATAGATCCGTAAGATTTGTGTATCATATTTTGAGTTTCAAATTTCATTGTCAATGTTGGACATTGATTTAGAGCCATAATAGAAATTTCCATTATCGAAAGTGCTTTCTGGACAAGGATATTTCCATTATCGAATGTGCTTTTTGGACAAGGAAATTTCCATTATCGAAAGTGATTTCCATTATCGAAAGTGCTTAACTATGGCTGAAGCCGCTTTCTCAAAACATTACTAGACCATTGTGGAAAGTACTTTCCCCCCTGCTACACAACCACTTGTTTCCCAGAAAACAAACATGAGAAAGTTTTATTTAACAATTGCTTTTATGAGAAGGAAACATGGGAATAAACAATTCAATTGAAAGAAACTTTCTTGAAGGATTCTTTCCTGGTGAGAGAAGCGTGCCCCGAAAATTCGTACGTTTCTCAGACTGATGGGCTCTAATAAGGTTGAGGTGAATTTGGCTGTTGCAGTGGCCAGGATCATACTGTGCACAATCGAGCAAAAGGTGTTGCCTCCCAACAATTGGTGAGCCTGACGAAGACTTCTTCGTCTTCGGCCTATACGCCACCAACTCCACCGGGGCCGTGCTCAGAAAGTGCCCAAACGAACAATCCTTTGAGTTCTCAGAGGTACTACTCCCCTAACCATGGCTTAGAAAACGGTTAACACTATGGAAATAAGGGCCATATAATTCGTGTTATTAAATGATGCTAGAAATCGGAAATAACAACAATTACTTTCACAAATAATTAAAATAATCACTCTTATCTTCAAAAAAAATATGGGGCTACTACTAAAGTAAAAAAGGGTCATTTTTTTAAATAAAATAGTATAATTTTAAGACGTTTCTCCATGCTTGTCAATGATTTTTTTGGTTACTTTCCAGTTTTACCGTTTTATCCTCTAATTTAGAATTTATGTTTAAATACCGATTTCAAATTATAATAGTCATTAGTGGTGTTTTAAAACCCAATTGTTTTCGATCTGGATCATCAATCAAGATGGGAATTGATCCCCCCTTTCCCCCCAAACAGGAAAAAAAAAGGAAAGGAGTTTTTTTTTTTCAATTATTTCTTTTTTAGGTTTTATCTTATGTTTTCTTAGGTCGTCTTTAATTCCTCTCCGCATAAAACCCTATTTCAATTTTTATTGTTTTTATTTTTAATATTTTATGAATAAAAAATTTGGGCCGATCTAAACACGATTCGGATCGTCAATCCAACGATCCATGTGTGGGTGAGTGAATTGCTCGACTAATCAAAGTTTTAAAACACCGGTCAATATTGTTATAATGAAATTGACATGGACTAGGCCCATTCTATTGAGGTATTTGTGTTTCAATCCAATTCCCAAAAACAGTTAACCAGATTTGGTTTATTCACAATTGTGATTTTCAACCTAATGCCCGTAGGTAGAATTGGTTATGGCCGCGCACACCTAATGTTGGTTAACAAGCTCTTCTCCATAATCTGGATCTTGGGCTGTGTTTCAACAATTTCTAGATTTTATTTTATTTTTGCATAGTTTCATCTTAGGCGCGAATTCCCTCCCCCATCACGGAAACAAGAAAAAGAGCATGATTTTCTAAATTTTAACATAGAAACTGTCTAACTCCGAAAAGGAAAACAAATAAAGTTTTGGGAAAAGTGTTAATATTTGTTAGAGGAAAATGTTCTTGTACAATGGCAATTGTGTTCTTTTTTTTTATTTTTTTGAATAGTTTCGTGGTAGGAATCAAACTTGAGATGCAACATTGCTAGCACCTACAATTAATAACTCAACCCCTAGCCTGATTCTAATTGCAATTGTAGTCCATGCTACCATAACTGAAGCCCAAATCTTTTTTTAGAGATTTGTAGATATAATATCACCTGTATGGCAATTGACTTAACACATATAGGAAAGGAAATGCTTGCAGCAGCTAAGTCGTTTACCAATAAATTCTTATTATATATATATATATATACCTTACTTTCTTTTGTTATTCGTTTTTTTTTAACATGACATGAACTCAGCCTAGTTACTCATACTCGATAAATAACTTGCCTCGCTCATGGTCCGAGTATATAGGCTGATTTGATTTTTTGAACATTGCTTTAGGTTAACTGAGCTAGAGGTTGACTAAAATTTGTTTGGTTGTGATCAAATTGAATGGGATAAGTTGGAGGGTCTGGAGGAGAGTCTGTCCGGTTTGTGGTCTAGCATCAAGTGCCCAAGCAACAATGGACAATCAATGTGGAAGTCCTTATGGAAGAATAATGGGGTCTGCTCAAACCTCAGCCTATTCAAGTACTTTAAGCAAGGCATAATCATCCACTGTGAAATCAACCTCATCAAAGCCCTCAGATTCCAAGATCAGTTACTCCTAAACCTCGGTTTTGTTTTTCTAATCACTCTAATTGACTAAGACTGGCTATCATGCACCACACACAATAAGTGCTACTTCTTCGGTAATAGATCACATGCTCAGACAATCAGAATGGCGCAACATAAGAGGAAACATGAAGTAGTATTCCACTGTAATCTCCCTCACTTAATAGAGCAAAGATCAAATAGAATGTATATCTTTTTTTTTTGTGCATGTAGTTTCATCTTCACAAAGAAATCAATGTAAAATTCCCATCCATAGTTTTTTTATTTTGGCAAGAACATGGTCACTAATAGTTTAGAGTGGATCTTCAGGTGAGGGTAGTATAGATTCATTTGTGTTTTGATATTTATTGATTTTGTTGAGAAGGTGGGGAGCATTGCAGGCATCGTGCCGAATGGTCGATTATACCAACTTGTAGAGATAAAAAAAGCACTGAAGCATGAGTTAGGGGCGGTGGTTGGGATTCGATGTAGTACAAACTTGGAGAGAGAATTCCAACTCTATGAAGTCTATGTCTGCATCGACAAAGTTGATGCCACAAGTCTGATACCTTGCTCGAGCTTGCCTGACTTTAAATGCCCAGACGAGATACGCTTCCTTGCCTTCAATCTCCAAATGCTCAAGAAAGATGTGATCAGTAACTCACACAATCTCCAAGTTGAATGATGGCCATGGCACTAAGAGAACATATTGATTTTCTTCTCATTTCAAGCTCATATTGATGCTCTAATACCACTTGTAGTGCTCTAATACCACTTGTTGTGCGCGGAAGTTCTAAACTCGACGGGTTAATATTTGGCAAATAAAGTATAAGAAATAAATCATGAAATACATACAATATGAACACAAAGATTTACATGGTTCGCCCAAGAGGGCTACATCCACGAGCATGGTAAACTAAAATCCAATATACCAATGAAAGTTATATAAAAGATTTTGGAACAAACCTCGACAAAAACCCAAGTCGAGCAAACCCTTTTAAACCACTCTCTCTTCCTTCTCTTTACTTTTGGCAACCATTACCAACAACATTAGATAGAGACGCGAGAGCAACGTGAAACTTACTTTCTCTCTAATTAAAGGGGAACAACCCAAATCTCTATGGGAACCGTTTCTCCACAAAAACAAAAACAAGCCTCTAAATCTTTAGTAGTCTAAAAGAGGCACCAACATAATGTTTCTGTCCAAATGAAGTTTTCTTCTCTCTAAGGGAAAATTACATCTTATGCATAAGAGGCTCCAGCACCCTCTCTCTCCAGAGGAACCACCATTCTCATATGGTAACCTAAATAGGGCACACAAATTCTCCGCACTTTCATCCCATATATATAAGATTAGGAGTTCATACTAACTAAGAAACTTATTAATATCAATCTTAGTCCCATATAATATGGATTAATTTTAATCAATTCCACAAATATGAGATTTCTTTATGTTGGTGACTTTGGATAACACCAAATCCAACAATTTTTATAAACATTTCAATAAAATAAAGCATAACAATGCAAAGCTAGAAAATTAATGTCCCAAATAATAGAAACAAGAAGAAAAACCAAAAAAAAATGTCCCAAATAATAGAAACAACTAAAAAACAATATCTATGAACATAATAATGAAGAAAAATAAAGAATAATTAGTATGAGGGGATGACATAAGCACCTTCAAGGAGGAGAAGCTCACAAGCAACCACTTCATGATAACCCTCTCATTTTATAATAAAGCAGTCGAGAACCACCTCAAAAAAGAGGAAAATTATTAAGAAAATTAGCAAAAATATTCTTATGTTGTCAAAAAATTAAATATATGAATTTTCTTTCATGGAATTACATTCATACCCAACAATTATGTTTTTGTATAAAACTTAGAATGCCCTTCACAACCCAGACTTGCCTTAGTGTCTTATCTTGGGCATCACCACTCTATTCAAACTGTGATGCACTATTACGACCCTATTAATGTTGTGATACTTTGTGCATCCGAGCCTTAATAGGGCTGTGATGCACAATGAACCTGTGCATCAAGGCTCTAATAGGGCAGTGATGCCTAATGTACATATATTTTTTATAAATTTTCAAATTATTATTGGTTCTCGTAGATCAAACCTCTCCTTTGCCTATTCTTCACCTTTGGCATACCCTAAAGCTAGTCCTTTCTCTAACCTCTCAAAGTTTCTAAAATCTCTCTGGATATTGTCTTATGCACTTAAAGCTTTATGTTCAAAATTATAGGGCATCATCTTTTTTTTATTCAGGAGCTCTACATTATATAGTTGATATTATCGTAGGGTTTCTAGTGGTCCTTGTCCCTTGATGTGATTTTTCAATCTCACCCCCTTGACTTAACATCCAAGGCTTGGAGGTTGATACTATTTTTCTACCTAAGTGACTCTCTCTCTCTCTCTCTCTCTCTCCAAGGGCTCTCTCTAAGGCATCCACTCTTTTTAGATCTTTAGGATCTAAGCATTAAGAGCCCTTAAAAAGATCTTGATTACTTGATCTTAATCCCCATTATGTTGAGAATCTCGCAATCAAGTGCTATTTTTCTCTTAGATAGTGCCCCTCAAATCCAAGCACTCTCACTTTATAGCTCTATTTTTTTTAATTACTTGGTCTCAAAGCCCTTTAAAGTTGAGATCCTCACATTAGGTTTTGGAACCAACGCCCCCCTCTCACTTTCTCTCTGAGAGGTTAGATGTGTCTCAAGCACTCATGACATGATATCAATTGCAAAAAGAGCATCCAAGTATCCCCCAAATGACCAAGGGATTGGCATTTATATCTTTTACGAGGTGAAATTAATGTTTTTAGGGCCAAGTTTGTTTCAAATTTTTGGCTAAAATTTCAAAGTTGTGTCTATGAACCTTGAGACTTTATTTTACCACCTATTTGAGTTTGAATCAACTTATTATTGGGCTTATTTGGCCTATTTAATGTCGTGCTTGTTCAGATTTCTTTCTACGCATTAGTGTATAATTGAATTAAACATTATATGGTTCAAACACTATTAAAAAGGGATTGTATACTACCAGACCATTTAGTTTTGGTTCAAGGATGTCGGTACTAGCCATTAAATGTCAAATTTGATGGCTTGGGGTGTGTCACAACGTTCAAATTTTTTTTTTTTGAATGTGGAGTCTAGTCAATGATACATGCAACCATTCGATTTGAAATATGATGACGTAAGTGACTGTGAGCTCCTTGTATTAAGAGTACATGGCCTCTCAGTATACTTTCCCACTAAAAAAGATATCATATATTGGGAGATTTGAATTGATTAAATGATCTCGTTCAATGTGCAACTATATGCAGCAATCCTATCTACGATTTGATACTTGCAGCTCAAATTATTTCTAGTTTTGGACCATATTATTCAGACCTTGGTTCGAATTTGATATTATTGAGTTTAATATCATTTAAACCCAGGTTGGAATTTAAAAACCACCAGTGCGAGAGTATCTTAAGGTCCAAATCCTTTAATTTTAAGGGGAGGGATCATTTTATTTTGGGGACTTTCAATTTTTACCTCGTTTTGAGACCCACTTAAAGGGTCTATAGGGTGATTACATGGGATTAGCAACCACTTTCATATTGTGTGACGGTTGCCTATTTGGTCAATGATCTGGCTTTGTGGATGGTAGACAACCAATATTTTTATTCATCCTTAGTATCCCTGCCTTTTGAGGCTTTTACGTTTGAAGAGAACCTGGATGCTCATTGGGCTAGGGCTGTGGGCCCCACTAGGGATCCCAGGCCTACAAGCCCCTCTCTTTCTTGTTCTTTTCTTACTTTGACCAAGCTAAGTGGGTAATTATTTTGAAAGAAGTTTGAAAAGTTAGGACAGCTTGTATAAGTGTTATAGAAGTTATGTAAAGCTTCTACATGATTTTTAATAAGGATGAACAAAAATCCTTTTGGATAATTATCTTATATTTTTTCATTAAAAGAGAATGAATCATGAAATCTAAGGGATAAAAGTTCTAGGTCCTTGCCTCTATCATTAGGGCCGATTTAGGTAATGGGACATTAGGACTAATGGCCACTTTTCACTCGGCATATCAATAGGGATCAACTATCCAGATTGAATATCAAATAAGATGGAAAACCTTAACCCATATCCACTATAAATAGGGGTCCTAACCCATGATTTAATATTAGAGAAGCCCCTCTCTCTCCACATTTTCTTCTCCTTTGACTCTCTTCTATCTCTCCACATTTCCTTCTCCTTTATCTCCTCTCTCTCTCCCCCCCTCCATATTTTATTCTCCTTTGACTCTCCTCCACATGCTCCTTTCTTGTTTGTCTCTCTTTTTTCGTTCTCTAGCCCATTAAGTGTAGCTTATCGCACCTAAAATAACCTACGGTGGGACACCCCATCTACCAATTGGCATAGACCTCGGATCAAGGTGTATGTCCTAATGTGCTTAAGCTTGACTTTTCTTGGTTAGGTTCTCTTATACCTCATCTAATATTCTATATTACGGTAATGTTTCCCATCTTAAGGAGAATCAGCAAGGATTGTTAGCGGAATGTTATCGGTCTAGGTGATCCAGAGTGCAGTGTATCAAAGTTCTTTGGAGGTGATCCGAGGCAACTTGTTCCAGTAAAAAGCTTCTCATTATTCTTGATTCATTTGTTATTGTGAATTTTCTGATTTTTATTAATAAAAGATTTTGTTAGATGGCAGCAAGTGAAGGTTCTTGATTTGCAATTGCCTTTTTTTTTTATTGTTTTCAATTATAAGTGGCAGTTGTAAATAGACACACTAAAAAACTTCAATTTATAACACAATGGATGATCTGTATAGCCACCTTTCAAATATACTAGGTCCTTATTGATTTAGCTTTGTTCCAAACATGTGTAAAAAGGTGTAAAGACTCACTTGAATTGAAATTTTTAAAGTACACATAACAAGGGACTGGTCTTTACACCTAACAAGTGGGATCAGAGCCAACCTCTCTTGGCCCCATTTCCATTCATTTCATGTGTCCTAGATTGTATTTAGGTTTGCAAAATACAAAGCAACCATATGATAAGTATTTGATTAATTTTCTCCTTCAATCTGATACGTTTGATAGCTGAAATTTTCCATGGGAATACAAAATGAAGTGGGATGTATGCAGATTAAGATCTAACACCTATGCACTGTTTTGTTTTTTGCAAAATTGAGTCACTAATGAAGGAAGCTTTATATTAAGGTTGTTTGGTGCCTTGAGTCCTTGGATGAGAAGCATTGACCTTAGGGATAATGCATGGACTGAAATATCCAAAAACTCGATTTCATTAGTTGTTTTTAGAGCACTCTGTAAACCATGATCCAATAATTGTTTAGGTGTAGCCCTAGTGGTAGCTCAACTTTTCCTAGCAGTATGTGGAGAATTTTGTTTAGGATGCAGTTAGGGTACAGGCCAAGCCCGCACATGTAGAAATGCATGCTCCTTAATAAATCTATTTTTCAGATGGATTTTTGGCCTTAATATTTAAGGATATGTAATCTCTAACATGGATATCATGAATGTGAAAAAATAAATAAATTTAAAAACTAGAAATAATATTCCAATTATTTTAACATTTGGACCGTTTGTTTCAATTGTTTTTAGATAGACCACATATTTGCGTCCATCTTCTGAACTGCATATGTAGAAATGTGGTCCAGTGCGCATGAAATAATTTTCCTTTTGTTTATTCGTTTAGAGTTTTTCTCCATGC